TATCTGGTCGGCCAGTGGTTGGGGATGAGGAGGTGGAGTGACGTTTCCCCCGGTCCTTGGTAGGAGTGCGCTGAGGACGGTGGGATTCTGAGCCAAGCTGGAGATGATAGCCGACAGTGCGGCCTGGACCTGAGGATCTACGGACGGAGAGGCCGCGGCCATAGGCTGGGCCGGGGCGTGGTCCGCTTTCTCAGCTCGTCTCTTTTCCAGGCCGAGGCGGGCGTCGGGGACTCCGCCGTTGAGTTGGTTGCGGAGGTCCGTCGTGAGGTTGAAGGCCTCCTGGAAGAGGTCCCCTCCGCCGACCTGGTCGGCCGTGGCGTCCTCATCGTGCTCCCTGGGCTCTTGGTCCTCAGGGATGACTTTGCTGACGAGGTTGCGGTTTGACTTAGTTCTCCCCATGATCAGTGGTTAGCTGCGCTTGGTAGCGACGAAGGGTGCTAACTTGATTGTTCTAGCTCTCAACGAGAGCACCAAATGATAGAGTATTAACTCCTAGATTCTAGAGAGAAGTGAGAGCTAGAGAGAGAAGGACAATAATATGCTTCAATAGAATGATTTTTGTCACCCCTATAACTACTCCCAAGGGGAGTATTTATAGAGAAAATTAGGGTTGGGCTCCCAAGCCTTGGGCTTGGGAGGCCCATTTACAACTGGACCGCTACTGGGCCGAATACAAAACCTCTAATGGGCTGTACAAATGAGTAAGTATAGGATCCGATTCTGGGAGGTCTTCGTGGCCGACGAGGGCGTGGCCGACGAGGGCACGGCCGACGAGGGCTCGGCCGACGAGGGCACCCGAGTCCCTCAGGCTCAGGACCGTAATCTGAGTTGGCACCTTTTCGGCCGGCGGGGGCGTCATGGCCGACGAGGGCGCCACTCTGTTGTCTTGTGCTCTGTTCTTCCGGGTATGTGGGTCCTGGGGCTCAGACCCATATACTCCATCAACTGACTTTAAATTCTTGTTTGAAAGTGTTTTTAACAAAGTGTTTCGGACCAGATATTAGTATAGATAACATCATGAATTTTCTTTTCATGGTCAACCAAAGCGGAAGATTATAAATGACTAACTGGACTGGCCAACAACTATATCTAGAACTAAGTGAGCTATGTGGATTCACTCCATCACTTGACAAAGCCAATCTGAGATTCCTAGATTCTTCACTGAAGTTTGGCCACATTTTATCAATGTGCTGCCAAGCTGCACAGTCAGCTGGATGACGTAGTTTACCATCTTTCAATCGATCGGTGACATGCCAAGTCATGTTTTCAGCTGTGTTGGCTGATTGAAACATGCGTTTGAACCGCGGAATAGGAGGAAAATACCATAACACTTTCACAGGAACTCTATGGCTATGATTTATAGCTCCGTTCTTTTTTCCTTAAACCTACTCTCCCCACACGTTGGACATTTGTCATGATCGGTGTGTTGTTTATGAAAGAGGACACAATCGTTCCGACAAGCATGTATTTTTTGGTAATCTAATCCTAAGACTTTCATTATTTTCTTGGCCTCATACATTGACTTGGGAATGGAATTATCAGAAGGCAATATGTCACTAAGTGCTTCTAATAAAGATGTAAACCCTTGATCTGACCACCCATGTTTTCCTTTGATGTTAAATAATAACATCACCCCAGACAACCTTGAATAACTTGAACCTGGGTAAAGTGGTTTCTCAGCATCTTCAACCACATCCCTAAACCTCTTCGAATTATTGTCTAACTGGTCATAAATATCCCCTAACATGTCCTCAACTTGGTCGTGGTCATGAAACTGTGAATGTGAGGTGTTAGGTGTTGGATTTTTTTCAACCTCTCCATGCTTAGTCCAAACAAGATATGATTCCAGAAAGCCCACTTTGAATAAATGGACTTGGATTTTTTAAGGGGATTGAAAGTCCATATTACAACAAGTTTTGCATGGACACCTAATTGACATACGATTGGCAGAATTAATTATAGCACAATGAATGAAATCATTGACCCCTTTTATATATTCTGGAGACAATTTGTTTCCATCCCTAATCCAAGACCTATCTGTTTGCATATTCATACCTGATATGTGAACACAAAGACAAAAGGACCAAGTATAGTTAACCAACTAATGTATACAACCAAGTATATTTCTACAGATTGCATAGATTTCGAGCTCTCAAAGAAGTAAGATATACAAAAATAGATGTATTTTCCCAAATGTACATACTAGACTGAATTTTAATTTGAGCACCAGGAAGTTTTACTCATGCAGTCATGCAATCATTTCATATACAAACATACAGTCATCGTAATGAGGTAATCAGTTTAGAAATTAACCAAAAAATGTATTGAATTTTGAAAACATAAAAAAAGCTGAAAACTTTCCAAAAGGAACCTTGAAAACATATTCATGTGTAATCTTATTCTTTCTTTTCATAACATACTTAAATGCAGAAACTAGAAGAGGAACAACAAATATTAGAAGAAGATCCACAAAAAAAACATCAAACAAAGAAACAATGAAACCGCAAGAGAAGGAGGAAGGAACAGAAGGCAATACACTTTTGTATTCGATCAAATACAAAAGTCTTCAACAACTAAAGTGTTTGGCTCTTCTTTTTGTATTCGATCAAATGAAAAAAGTCTTCAACAACTAAAGTGTTTGGTTCTTCTTTTTGTATTCGATCAAATGAAAAAAAGTGTTAAGTACATTTTTGCTATCAGTAATGAAAATAAATTGGTAAATATGCTTACCGGCATGCTATTTTGAAACTTGAGTTTTCTGCAACTAATTACTCAACAAAAATTACAGATTTAGGCTGTATAAAATGTGAGTTTTCTGCAACTAATTACTCAACAAAAATTGCAGCTTTAGGCTGTATAACACGTGATTTTTCTGCAACTAATTACTCAACAAAAATTACAGATTTAGGCTGTCTAACATTACATTTTTCAGCAGCTAATAACTCGATCAAAAGTATAATTTTAGACTGTCAAGGTAATATTTTTCAGCAGCTAATAATAACTCAGCCAAAAGTATAGTTTAGGCTGCCAAAGAATGCATTTTCAGCAGCTAAAAACTCAACCAAAAGTATATTTTTCTTATTGAATCTACGGTTGCTAACACATACCATCGGACTACACCAAAATGACTCTACTTGAGAGTGACACAAGAAAGTTTGTAAACATGAAGCTTTGAACCATTTAGTATAAATTTCACAAATGAGAAAGTGCAGCAATACTTGAATTCAATACTTCACAAACTAAATTAACAACTTGTATCATTATTTAGCTCCCAATGCACTGTAAGAGTAACAACATGTTTCAAAATGGATTTTTTTTATTTCCCATAATTACAAAAAGAATGCAAAGAAACGGAAGCTTTTGAATTTTAGATCCACTTCAAGCAAATAAGCATGCTATGGAAGTTAGAGATCAAGATAAGATTAAGCACAGTTTGAGAGATCATTTAGAACCACACATCACTCATGCCAACATAGTAAGTCTTACAATTTCATAGATCATTTAGAATAAGAACTCCTCAAAAGACAGAAAATCAACAAGCACTAGAGATTAAGAACAAGAACATTGCCCAAAAATCAATTGGGACTCGAATTTTAGAGAGATCATTTAGAATAAGAACTCCTCAAGAACTACATAATTGGGACTCGAATTTCAGAATTTTTTATTACTAAATGCAAATCAGTACAGTATATACAAAACAATAGAAAATAAGAACAAGAACATTTCCCAAAAATCAAAATAAACTACAAATCCTCAATTTCACCAGAATATTAACAAGGTGAGAGTGAAATGGTAGAAATTAACTTCATTCAAGTAATAAAATCAAAGAAACACACATATGGTTGCTTAATACCTTCTTCTCGAGTTGGTCAGTGTGCCCTAAAAGTAGTGCCGTCCCCGATGAATATCCCTGGTGTTCATGAAAGTGTAGTACATGTGAAACAGTAGAAATTATGAACATGAATAGTGCCCGAAAATAAAAATAAACTACACAACCTCAATTTCGTCATCAGTTAACAAGGTGAAGGTGAAATGGTACACATTAAGTACATTCGACTAAAAAATCGAAGGAATAAAGAGATAATGGCCGACTAATACCTTCTCTTCTCGAGTTGGCCGGTATCTGTTCGAAGGAGCAAGAGCTTAATTCGCCGATGATTCTCTCGGGTTCAGCCAGCAAGAGGAGAGCTTGCGTCGAAGGGGTTGGAGCTTAATTCGATAGTGTATCAGTTCAAAGGAGCAAGAGGAGAGCTTGCGTCGAAGGGGCTAGAGCATGTGTCGGTCTAGCTAGGGTTCTTACGAGCTTGAGCGATAATTCCCATTTAGGAAGAGATGAGGAGTTGATGAAATGTAAGAGTGGGCTGAATGTTTTAAGAAATGTACGTATGTACCGGGCTGCGGGCGCTGGATCGGATCGGAGCAGGGAAAAAAATGGCTAAATGTTGGAGGAAATTAAAGTAAGTGAATTGTTGTGGTGGGGCCAATAAATAAGGAAGCAAAGATGTGGAGGGAATTATAATGAATGAAAAAAATGGAGGGAATTAAAAAGTTGGAGACAAAAGAGTGGTAGCATTTCGGCTCTAATATCACTATTTTTATTGATATGATAGTGTCATGTGTTAATGACACTTTTATGTCAATTTCAGTTAATGCATCTGTCAGTGACACTAATTTTAAAAAGTATCACTAAAAAAGTGTCACTATAAGACAGTTTTCTAGTAGTGTTTGTCTGGAACAGACATAAAAAAACGCCTCACATACATGAGTGTGTAAGAGTGTGTACACAAAGTGTGTACCTCAAGTGTGATTCTTAATTTAATTGACCTTTATGCCTTGAATTAGGAAAGCATAAATTGTCCAAGTGATTATTATATCTCTCTTCTCAATTATTTTAACTAATTTGGGTTTGATTTATTTGAATTTGCAGGACAATGAGAAGCAGGAATATATTGAACTACTAAAGAAGCCTAGTTATGGGCATGGTGGCATGGTTGTAGACTGTGATGAACAATTAGTTTAAATTTAAATGTTACAAAAACTATATAGAGATAAAACTCAACAAATATCAAGTATACGAGTCTAATATTAGAACAAAAATTATAATTGGTTAGAAAACTTAACAAAGAAAAGAAAAAAGCATATATACGAGTCAAATACAAGTAGCCAACACATCGAAACATACAAATAACAAATCTAGTTGGGCAGCAACCCGCCCAATTAAGTATAATAACTTATAAAAGTGAGACTCTGTAAACAATTTAGGAACCATATGCTAATAACATGATTCATTAAGGACTTGACTTTATTTGATGAGCAATGGGTTACTTTCAAAGAAGTTTACGGGCCTTAGCTCAAACCCAACCGAGACAATCGGCATCACCGGGAAATCTTCTTGGACCGGTACATGATGGAATCCCACAGTGTACCACAACACTATGTCTGTGTTATTAATTGATCTATTCCTGCAAAGCAATTAAATACCAATAATTTGATTAAAGTTGTTAAAAAATTAATCTGAAAGTACACACACACTTTAATGAGGCGTTAAGTACTCGGTGCCCGTTTGGTAATATCAAAATCAGCTGCTGATTTTAGTGTAATTTATGAATTTTCAGATGAAGTGGCTGAATTGGTTGATTCTGCGAATTTATGAAAAATTGTATTTAAAATATATTTTATTAATAAAATAAAGAAAATATTATTTGAAAATAGCTAAAATGATCTCATACAGTAATTTCAGCCTATACAACAAAAAGAGCAATTCCAACATTACTTTTTCTATGACTATTACACAATTCACCGCGTGAAATAAAAAATTACTCCAAATGAACTATCAAATCATAAATGAACTATATGTATTCTTATTGTTTGTACATTTGAATCAAAGTATAAAATACTGCATTAAATTAAAGCACTACATTAATAGAGAAATTAAAACACTCTAATTACATACCTTTGGCTCCAAATGGCTAAGCCATCATCACCATGGCTTTGATCTGCATAAAATCCGCCAGCCCACTTCTCAGACGTGTTGTAAGGAGTCACCCACACCTGGTTCTTAGTATAGGATGCTCGCATCTGGGGATAATCGTCATCGGAGAGCAAAGAATAAGCCGACGGTCCGGCAATCAGCTTGTAACCGACATCGTTTCCGAGCCTCGTTTTGTTGTTCGGGTTCACAATCAGCAACTCGGCAGGCTCGGACTCGAGCCGAACCCGAGCATCGGCTTCCGTTAGAGCAGTCTCCTTGACCACTTTCCAGTAACTCTTCCTAGGAGAAACAGAAGGATCTGTCACGTTCACAGATTCCAGTTTGGCTTTAACAAATGAATTGGAGCTGCCATCAATGTCTAAGTCGAGATAGTATGTCACAAAATGGTCATGGTTTCCTGCAACTGTGTTTTCTGCGACAAAGGTTCCATAGACATCCTCATTTAACGTTTCACTGGTCGCTTCGTCAACACCCTTCAAGTGAAGGACGCCGGTTAGACTTACCTACATCCGAAAATAAACGCTTTTAGCAAAACTCGAGCCAGCGAATCGAATGGAACCACAAATAGAATAATAAAAAAAGAAAAGTTGGCAAAGTGCAATATATGAAGGAAGTATTTTTTTTATATTTATTGTATAATCGAATCTTATTTTGTACTTGTAGTCGGTTTGATTGTTATATCCGAATGTATTTGGTTTGCATCTGAATGTGAAAATAAGCAGGGACAAAGCCAGGACATTGAGCCGAACTGGACCGGTACAAAGAATATTTTTAGAAAAAAATTAAACATAATTTTTTACACTAAAAATTAAACCATTTTTTAAATTTGAGATGGGACGAGGCCTAAGTTGGGCACCCCTATCTCTGCACATGAAAATAAGTGAATTTGAAATTTATTGAAGTAATGAATAGTAACCTTTAATTTCAAAAAAGTAATGAAATTATAATGTTGTACGAGTATTTTTTTTCTCATTTTCACTATGGACATTTCATACAAACTAAAGTGCATCTACGAATTGCTTATACAAAACTAAAATCAACTTAAATATATTTACTGAATAGTAAAATGTTTAAATAAGACAAAAGTTACTTCCGTAATCGGTGAATAATCAATTAACCAAAACACAAACATAATATGAGAGCATTTTAATTTTAATGGTATATTAAAAAGCTCTTTGATTAGGAATGCATATATTGATATTCGAAATTGTATTTATTGATTATAATTCAAATTCACATTTTCAAATTACAAATAAAAAACACTTACAAATCAAAACAAAATTATTTGAATCCTTTAGAGTTATATTTTGTTCCCAACAATTGTCTATAATTTCCGAGGAAGTGTATAATATTTGAAAAAATTTGTTTGTGCACATTTTCTTATACACGTTCTCTTATACACACCTTATACATCTTATCGGTGAATATATTGATCAACATGTTTTGTAAAAAACAAAGATTTCTTACATAGGTGTGTATAGTCTATAAGATATGTATAAGAAAGTGTACAATATAGGAGAAAAACTAGTCTTGGTTTGGATTAACTCTTTGATAAAAAAGCCTAAAGTTTTGAAAATTGCTTGGATAAAGTCTGGAATCTCATGCATCAAGCTTTCTTTTTTTGCTAAAGGTTAGCCAAACCCAAATCAGTTTGGATAAAGTATGGAAACCACCTCTTTCTCAATTAGCCTATTATTTAAAAACTGCTTTAAAGAGCATTATTTCAGCCTTTAGACTTTATACTTCCAAAGTCAAATTTGCCGTTTGTTGGGGAATTGTTTACATTTTCGATCTGCAACTATTTTGTAATTATGAAGTATTTTGTGAGTATTATTAAATAATATGATGATGATGATAGTTAGTGAATTGCCAAAAAAATACTACCGCCGTCCTAAAAATTGTCATTTCATAAAATTTGAATCGTGATTTTGATCATTATAATCTTATGAAAATTATTAATTTTATACTTTTATGAGAATACTTTGAACAAAGAACATTTTTTATATAATTTCTATATTATACGGAGTAAATGATTTCCAATAAAACTATATACTTGATCAAGTTTTGAAAATGATAGTTTTTGGAAGGGAGGTAGTAATAGTCAGTGATTATTGCGTTAATATTATTACAATAGATCTTGAAAATACGTAGTAATAAATACACGTGGGCCGGAGTACTATACACTCACAGTCAATATTTAAAATAGTAATTATAAATATTAATAATAGCAAAATAGTATGTAAATTAAGTTAAATTTATAAGTTTGCTATTGTTACTGAGAAATGATATCTACGGAGTATAAGTCAAATTTAATTTGCGAATAGTGAAGTATGTAAATTAATATATTGAAATCCTTATCAATTATTTCACATCATTCTATTTAATAATAATAAACAACTAATTGATCAAAATGTTAATTAGTAGAACCTACTATTATACGAGTATACTAGTATACTATACGTATAATCTTCTTCTAATAAAGACCGTCTTATTTTTATCAAGCATCAAACAGTATATTCTACTACCTCCGTCTCACTAATATTCGTCCGGAATGAGGTGACATAGTTATTAAGAAAAATGAATATATGTGTTTGATATCAATTGATAAAGTAAAAATAAAGTAAGAATGAATTAGAGCTAGACAAATTTTGTCAAAATTGGTATGAGACAATTTTAGTGGGATTTTCCAAAAAGGTGAAATGTGATATATTAGCGGGACGGATGAAGTAATAAAAAACACCTATTTTAATTTATTTTTTTCAATTCCCGCAAAACGATTACAAAAGGTATTTTTCCTAGAAATAATCCCGGCCACGTACTCTAAAATGTTCCATAAAGATTTTTAGTCTTTGGAAGAAAATGCGTCCAAACTGCAAACGCTATTAATCAAGTGTTTTGTGTGAGCGACGCGGTCTCTCCCTAGCAGGTCTAGGGTTTGATTTTTCCTTAGCAGATCTAAGGTTATGTTCTTCCGGTCGGTGAATCCCCTTCACTTGGATTTGAGGTAGATTGACAAGAATCCTTGCCCAAGCTTGACGACATCGAAGCCAGAGTTCGGCGATCGATTTCTTCGTGAGCAAGGTAGCAAGGGCATGACAACGATGAAGATGACCGCTAGCGCGGGGCGAGATGATGATTGACAATGAAGGATCAATTAGAGTGGTACCAAAGATACGGTCTCCTCCTGAACAACCGCCATGGGTTGTACGAGGTGCTAGAGTCTGTGGAAGTTTTCCTATTAGTTATTTTTATTCTGTCATTTGGCTTCTTGTTATCGTCTATGTTGTTAAGTTTGTCAGTTTGTTTAGAAATTCAGCCTTTCATGGTTGTGTCAAGCCCGCTACATGGTTAGTGATTCGCGTTGCTCTTTCAGAGATGACTGTCTCTAAGTCTGATCATAGGGTTTAGAGTCGTAGTTGTTGGATTTTAGTTGGTGTTAGTTTTGTTTTTCCTTTGATTGATGTAATGATTCTGCAACTTATGATATGAAAGAAGGCTAATTGACGCTCAAAAAAAGTGTTTTATGATCACAATATTTGCTCTTACCCCAATTTTGATGGAACCACTTTTTTTGAATTCCCAATCAAGCACATAATCGTAATTTCCAACTGTCGCCACCATTCTTGCTACCAGATTGACTTCCTGCTCTCCGCTAGTCACCTGCAAAACCCAAAAGATTTCTCGGTACAATGTTTTTATATCGACTAGTTTCAATCTCAAATCAGTGCTTATTAAATTTAATCACACCGAAACGTAGCCAATAGTAAAATGCACATGTAGCATCCATTTTTTGGAATCGTTTAGAAAATATCACTTAAATTTTAAAAAAAATTGATTTTACACTTTACTTTTCGTCTGATATTGGATTTTGCATCTCATTTTTGACAAATTATGATTTTACACATCATTTCACTTAAAAATTCTTTGACTTTGAACTTCATTCAGAAATTTTTCTTCACAAATTGTTTTATGACGGGTGGCAAAGTAAAAGATAATCAAAATGGGATAAAAAGTTCAATATTGTCCAGAAAATGAAATGCAAAATCAAATTCCTTCTACAATTTAACATTCTAATTGATCCAAAAGGTGGAATCTCACACCCAGGAGCCCCCCACCCCGACCCGACAGGATTGTGGGGAGGTTAGTCACGGTGACTCAGTCAGCAGAATGACAGTAGAGGCCCAACCTTATTTCAGGTTATGTGACCTCCACCCAGTCACTGCGGGGATTCGAACCTTGGTCCATTGATCCAAATCTCCCACCACTCGACCAGCTGAGCTACCCGTGCGGGTTACAATTTAACATTCTAAGTACATGGGATGTTAGATTATTGGACTTATACTACATGTAATATTCACAATATATTATTTATCGGGTTTAATTGTATGTTATATGCTATCTTATATTTAGGCCCAAAAATTAGTGGTCCTATGGATATTAATTTAAGTGGGCTAATAAGTTATCTAATAAGGTATAGGGCCCAAATGTGTAGAGACCCATGGGCTTGACCTAATCAATGATGGGCTGATTAGGGTTAAGCACTCTATAAATAAGGGGTTATGGTCCCTAGTTGTACACGTCATTTTGTCTTTCTGCATCCCATCGCTAGAGAGATAATCCCGAGGGTGTGTATCAGCTAGAAGACGCAAACCCTAGCCTCCGTCTCCCGGATCCCTAAAGATCATCTCCGATGGAGTCAGGTACGCTTCCGCTCAGTTAATTCTCTAGATAATTTCAATATGAAGATTAAAGTATTATCGGATTTATTCCAAAAATTGGTATCAGAGCCACCTTCATATTGAATTATTTGGAGTTAGTCGATGATTAAATGGAAATCGAAATTTTCTTGTATGGCTGCCGATTTGATTTGCAACATCATACTTGGGGGCAGCATACTTGGGTTTCGTTTTGTCTTTTGATTCATTCTTCTTTAAGCAAAGCAGTTTCGCACGTTATGATGGGATACTGCGATTTGTATTTATTATTATTATTATTATGTTTCTAATGTCACTACCTGCATGGAATCGGGTCAATCGCAGAGTTAGATTTATACATAATTCGGCAATTGATGTTGTAGTGGAATTGTACATACTTCGTAATTGTCGAATTGTTACTTTTCTACATAATTCGCAAATTTATACACACATATATATATATATATATATATATATATATATATATATATATATATATATATATATATATTGGACAACTCCGGCTTTCATAATTGTCGAATTGTTATTTTTCTGGGTTTTGTTTTGGGATCAATCAATCATGCGATTGAATAATTTTTTTGGGTTACATCATCGATTTTCTGGAAAATAGATTCAATAGTCAATTATTATTTTGGATGTGACTGAATTGATTCATAACAAATCATAATTTCAGTTTCTTTCTTTAAGGAATCAAGCCTTTAGTTTATTTGTTTTGGATTTGGAATCGATTTTGTTTTAAAACGATTAGGCCTTTAACCGAGAATACCTATATCAAATTAAATTTTGATATGCTTCATTTTTCGGTAATTTAATTTTGGAATTTTATGGCTTTAGTAATATATTAAGTGCATATATGTGATTATCGATTTGGTAATTAAATACTTATATGTGATTACGGGCAAAATCAGTTCCATTAGAATTGCATATTTGGAAATAAATAACTTTTATTGGTGATCATGATTTACAGTTTAAAAATGTATTATGTGTTATGGATGTATAAACCCTAATTTGTGATCACATAAAGATTGGGTACAGGTTTTACAAATTTCGTTACACATAACACATTTGCATGTGATTCAGAAAAATTCGCCCAATTTTATTTTCAGATTGTTGATTTAATATTAGCATGTCTAATATTTGGGTTGATTAATTGGCGCAACATGCTGCCAAAGTAGCCTCTCTTGTTGAAATTAATTAACTCATATATTAAGATGATTGTGTACTTTCTTATTTCATGCGGATAATAATCGGCCCAAAGGAAGGTTATTATTTGGCCGAAATTTAAGTACATTTGTGATAATAAAATTTGTGATGATTATGAAGTTTTTTCGTGTGAATATTAAGTCGGTCCAAAGAAAGGCTTAATATTTGACAAGATTTTATTATCAAAATTTTATTATCACACCAAGACTACCACTTGCAAGTCTAATTTATGTCCAAAGACAAGATTAGATGTTGCGCTAGATATCTTGTGATGGGGATTGCTAATATTTAAATTTAAAATTAATTATAAAATTAATTTCAATTCCTAGAGCATATCATTTATATTATTTTTATTCTCTTTCAGTCAACAATTCTGCTGCTACAATATCTGCTAATATTAATAGCATCCCAGTGCTTAACATCACGAATTTTAAGGAATGGAAAGAAAATGTTATGATCGTTCTCGGTTGCATGGATCTAGACCTTGCACTTCGGACTGAGAAACCCACCGCTCTTAAGGACACATCTACCCTCGATGAAAAGAGGGAGATGGAGAGGTGGGAACGCTCAAACCGCATGAGTCTAATGATCATGAAACGTGCAATTCCAGAATCATTCAGGGGCACAATGTCTGATGAGGCCGATGCCAAATCATTCCTTGCCGGACTTGAAAAGCGTTTTGCTAAAAACGAAAAGGCGGAAACTAGTACTCTTTTGAGCACTCTTGTTTCCATGAAGTATAAAGGCAAAGGGAACATAAGGGGGTACATTTTGGAAATGTCTCATATTGCTTCAAAACTAAGTGCACTAAAGCTTATTTTACCTGAGGAATTGCTTGTGTATTTAGTTTTGATCTCTCTTCCTTCTCAATTTAATCAATTTAAAGTCAGTTACAACTGCATTAAGGAGAAATGGTCTCTCAATGAGCTCATTTCTCATTGTGTTCAAGAGGAAGAGAGAATAAAGCAAGATAAGACAGAAAGTGCTCATTTGGCATCTACCTCTAACGGCAGCAATAAAAGAAAAATTAAGGAAGCTGCAAATTCGGGGCCTCCCAGGAAGCATCACAAGGAAACTAAGGAAGAAACTAAGGAATCTGGATGCTTCTTTTGCAAAGGGACTAATCACAAGAAAAAGAACTGCACTAAGTACCATGCTTGGCGTGCGAAAAAGGGTTTGTCTCTTACTCTTGTTTGTTCTGAGGTTAATTTAATTTCGGTACCAAAAGACACTTGGTGGGTAGATTCCGGTGCTACTACTCACATAAGTGTATCTATGCAGGGTTGCCTGAGCTGCCGAAAACCAATTGATGGTGAAAGATACATCTATGTCGGTGATGGCAAGCGGGTTGAAGTTGAGGCTATCGGTGTTTTTAGATTATTATTAAAGACTGGTTTTTATTTGGATTTGAAAGAGACATTTGTTGTGCCGTCATTTAGGCGGAATTTAATTTCTATTTCTGCATTGGACAAATTTGGTTATTCTTGTTCATTTGGAAATAGTCAGTTCAGTCTATTTCAAGATTCAAAACTTATTGGTACTGGTCTTTTATCAGTTTATGATAATCTATATTCACTTGATATAAATACCTCATATAATGAAACCTTGCATGTAAGTACTCGTGGTACTAAAAGAAAATTAACCAATGAGAATTCATTTTCACTTTGGCATAAGCGTCTAGGACATATTTCTAAAGAAAGAATTCAGAGACTTGTGTCAGATGGAATTCTTGATTCTCTTGACTCCTCAAATTCTGATATTTGTGTTGAGTGCGTTAAGGGAAAACAAACGAACAAACGGAGGTTAGGTGCCGAGAGAGCTTCAGATCTATTAGAATTGATATATACGGACATTTGTGGACCATTCCCTACACCATGTAGAAATGGCCAAACATATTTTATCACATTCATAGATGATTACTCTCGTTATGGTTACCTTTATCTCATTCATGAAAAGTCCCAATCAATAGACGTGTTCAAATCTTATAAGGCCGAAGTTGAAAATCAATTAGGCAAAAGAATAAAAACCGTTAGATCTGACCGTGGTGGTGAATACTATGGTAGATATGATGATTCCGGTGAACAACGTCCAGGGCCATTTGCTAAATACCTAGAGGAGTGTGGAATTGTTCCTCAGTACACCATGCCAGGAACTCCTAGCATGAATGGTGTTGCTGAGAGACGAAACCGTACATTGAAGGACATGGTTAAGAGTATGATTTGTCATACTACTTTACCCGATTCACTCTGGGGAGAGACACTGAAAACTGCAGCTTACATACTTAACAGAGTTCCCACTAAAGCTACAACTAAAACCCCTTATGAAATTTGGACTGGAAAGAAACCCAGTATAAATCATTTCCATGTTTGGGGTTGTCCAGCTGAGGCAAGGCCTTATAGGCCAAATGAAAAGAAACTGGACTCAAGAACAGTTAGTAGCTATTTTGTAGGATACTCTGAGAGGTCAAGGGGGTATAAATTTTATGATCCCACTACCAAGACTATTTTTGAGACGGGTAATGCCCGGTTCTTTGAGGATATTGAGTTTGGGGGGTGGGGAGATAAGGTTAGAGATTTTGTCTTTGAGGAAGAACATGTTACTCTTCCTTCAGTTGTCATTGAACATGATAAAGATATGTTTATTCCTAATGATGTTCAAGAAACAACTCCAGTTCATGACAATCTCGAAAACATCCCCAATCAAGTACCTGAATTTGTTAATGAGGATCAAACTCAACAACCTCAAGAACCTGAGGTGCCATTAAGGAGATCCACTCGAGAAAGGAGAAGCTCAATTCCGGATGATTATATTGTATTTCTCCTAGAACATGAGGAAAATTGGGAATTGGTGGAAGAAATAATTGTCTTCCTCCAAGAACAAGAATCGGATGTTGGTTTTGCGGAAGATGATCCAATCAACTTCCGTCAAGCCATGGAAAGTTCTAACTCTCAAGAATGGATTAATGCCATGAAAGATGAGATGAAGTCTATGAGTGACAATGACATTTGGGAGATAGTCTCATTGCGTGAAGGTATTAAACCCATTGATTGTAAATGGATATTTAAAATCAAGAGGGATTCAAAGGGCAATGTTACAAGGTTTAAAGCTTGTCTTGTTGCTAAAGGCTACACTCAAAAGAAAGGAATTGACTATAAAGAGACTTTCTCTCCGGTATCCTCGAAAGACTCTTTTAGAACAATAATGGCATTAGTGGCACATTTTGATCTTGAGCTTCATCAGATGGATGTAAAAACTGCATTTCTCAATGGTGACATTGAGGAATCAATCTATATGGAGCAACCAGAAAACTTTATTTCGGGAGATTCAGAGAAAATGGTTTGCAAATTAAAGAAATCCATTTATGGGCTCAAAAAGGCTTCTCGTCAGTGGTATCACAAGCTTCATAAAGTCATTATATCTTTTGGTTTTCAACCAAACGTCAGTGATGATTGTATATACCACAAGTTCAGTGGGAGTAAGCATATTTTCCTGGTCTTGTATGTTGATGACATACTGCTTGCTACTAACGATATAGGCTTATTACACGAAATTAAGAGATTTCTTTCAAAGAATTTTGAAATGAAAGATCTTGGTGAGGCTTCTTTTGTATTAGGAATTCAAATCCACCGAGATCGCTCCAAAGGCGTTCTTGGACTCTCACAAAAGAGCTATATCGATAAGATTCTCAAAAGGTTTGGTATGCAAGACTGCAAACCAGGAGATGCCCCAGTTTCTAAGGGAGACAAGTTTAGTCTCATGCAATGCCCTAAGAATGGTTTTGAATCTAAAGAAATGAGGAACCTTCCTTATGCTTCGGCTGTAGGAAGTTTGATGTATGCCCAGGTTTGTACAAGGCCTGATTTGGCATACATTGTTGGGATGTTAGGCAGATATTTGAGCAATCCGGGAATGGACCATTGGAAAGCAGCCAAAAGGGTCATGCGGTATTTACATAGAACAAAGGAATATATGCTCACATATCGGAGATCGGATCAGCTTGAGATCATTGGGTATACCGACTCTGATTTTGCTGGATGTCAAGATAGCTTGAGATCCACTTCAGGCTACATCTATATTCTAGCTGGAGGAGCTATCTCCTGGAGGAGTATCAAGCAGACTCTTACAGCTACTTCCACCATGGAAGCAGAGTTTATAGCATGTTATGAGGCATCCAATCAGGCATTATGGCTGCGAAATTTTGTTAGTGGACTACGCATAGTGGACATCATTGAAAGACCACTTAAGTTATTGTGTGACAATAGATCAGCAGTCCTCTATGCTAAGAACAACAGTAGTTTGACCAAGGCAAAACACATTGGGGTCAAATTTAAGGCTGTTAAGGAACGAGTACAAGAAGGAAAGTTATCTATAGAGCACATTAGCACAAACTCCATGATTGTGGATCCGCTCACTAAAGGATTACCACCCAAATTGTTTCATGAGCATGTTGCTCAAATGGGTGTCAAATCAGTTGAGGATTATGAGTTTTAGTGGGAGTTTGTAATGTTTCTATGTTTGGTTAACTCAAGTTTTAATGTTATTTTCTGCAGAAATAAAGTTTAAAGTTTTGTGTACTCTTACAGTTATATTATTGATCTCAGGGTGGACCAGTTAGAAATAAACATTCTATTCCAGACCACACTATATGTTATTTCCACGCCACACACCTATACTTGATCCATGTCGTTTATTATATTAATATATGTGATCATTGATGGGGTCTAGTTATTCAAATATAGCAAAGACTTCTTTGGTCCTATGTTGATATAATTAATGGACCAGATTGATTAAGGATGACTACAGTTTGATAGCAAAAATTTGGAGCTCCTAAAGTAAACATACAATTCTAAGGATTGTGTATACATGTGTATGTCGTCCAAGTGGGAGATTGTTAGATTATTGGACTTATACTACATGTAATATTCACAATATATTATTTATCGGGTTTAATTGTATGTTATATGCTATCTTATATTTAGGCCCAAAAATTAGTGGTCTTATGGATATTAATTTAAGTGGGCTAATAAGTTATCTAATAAGGTATAGGGCCCAAATGTGTAGAGACCCATGGGCTTGACCTAATCAATGATGGGCTGATTAGGGTTAAGCACTCTATAAATAAGGGGTTATGGTCCCTAGTTGTACACGTCATTCTGTCTTTCTGCATCCCATCGCTAGAGAGATAATCCCGAGGGTGTGTATCAGCTAGAAGACGCAAACCCTAGCATCCGTCTCCCGGATCCCTAAAGATCATCTCCGATGGAGTCAGGTACGCTTCCGCTCAGTTAATTCTCTAGATAATTTCAATATGAAGATTAAAGTATTATCGGATTTATTCCAACATGGGAAGCGTGAGATAAATTAAAAGGCGGCTGGGTGCATACTCTTGGCCCCACAATGCGAGCTGGTCGAGGGTATGGTCCTATGACAAGGGTGTATAAGGGGGAAATAATCCTCTATCAGTTTGATAAGATGTGGGACTTGAACTCGTGACCTCTTTATCCCATAAACGCTGCAACTGATGAGATAAATTAAACGAAATAAATGATTTAAACAAGGTTAATTACCACATTTCCTCGGATACCAACGTTTGTGTGTCTCCAAGAAACTTGCCCAGTATAACGTTCAAAAACACAAATAGCTCTAGGGACAAGCATTGGTTGACCATCTGTTCCAGCCATGTAGCCGTCAATATACTGAGCATTAGCCGGACAGTCCAACAATGGAACAAGAGAGCTGGCAGAGACCCCAAACCCATATTCACCGACATCCATATACGTCTTATAGTACTCCTCAGGTGTGGGGTCCATGTACGGAACAAATGTCTCAGACACAAACCCTCTGTAGAGCACACGCCTAGAGCGCTGTTTGGCAGAGTCAAACACAGAAGCTGTCGATATAACTAAGCCCGAACGAGCGTTGAACGAAACGTGGAACTCCCAGTTCGCCCATTTGACCACACTCTCATTTATTTGAATGTTTGATTGGGTTCCATTACAAGTTATGGGCGAATCATGGGCGTTTGATGACTCCAAGTCTGTGTTTTCGGATGGGGGCAATGTTGACATTCCACTGTCTGTGTAGTTGACCACTGTCATGGATTCAACGTCTACTAACGCCGTTATCCCCGCGATGGGCCTGCTCCAGTAATTTGTGGTTCCCCCCCGTGAATAACATGAACTCTTCAGAACTCTTCCACCTCCATTCTTTCCATACCAACCTACCATTATAATATAAACTCTATATCAAATCGAATACTTATGAAAATAAAACTAAATCATACGCAGTAATAAAATACCATCTCCTTTTTTTATTTTATTTACATATAGAATTAAACCGTATCATAATAATACAGAATCAAAACCATTTAAATTCAATAAAAATTTCACAAAAAAATTTGAAAATTCCAAAACAGGACTGCTATGTTTTTGTTTTCTAAATATGAGTAATTTCTCTCAAGTTTGACATTATCAAACTTTAAATTAAACATCACAGTTTTTCCATGCTTTTCCAAAAAGTTACTCCTATTTAGGAAATAAAAAGATAAAGTTCTATTTTGGAATTTCAAAACGTTTTTACTCTCATTCAAGACAATTTCTATAACGTTAAACATACCCTACCTTTTTAAATGGAACTATCATTGTATTTAAAAATTGGGGGACTTTGACTTTGCACCCCACTTTTTAGATGATATTAAGCTTTGCATCCCATTTCAAAAAAACTTTGAATTTGCACCCTAACACATAACACTTTGTGAAGAACAATTTCTGAATGGGATGAAAAGTTAAAAGATGTCTAAGTTGAATGAGGTGCAAAGTCGAAGTTTTTTGAAAATGAGGTGCAAAGTCAAAGTTTTTTGAAAATGGGGTGCAAAATTATTCTTTTTTTTAAATAGGATTCAAAGTCCAATATCACCTGAAAAATGGTGTGCGAAGTCAACTTCTCCCTTAAAAATTATGGACTCACTCAATTGTGAGCAAGTGGCATATCCCGACATTTTAGTCAAGAGGATCAATTATGTAACATTATGATCAATTGTGAGTAGTAATAATGTTGTTTTTTGAAAAATATTATCTAAAAACAAATTATCTACAAAAGAATGACTCGAGTTATTATCAATATATTGTCACGATCATTTAAGTGTTAAAATTAAACATAAGTTAATATAAGTTAATATAAGTAAAGTTAACTGTAGTAACTACACTAAAAAGGTACATTTTTGCAAACTCTTTTATTTTATCATAAATATGTGATTATTTCAATAACATTACTTTGAATATTTACAGTTCATTAAACACAACATAGAAAAGTAATTAGAAACAAATCAACTGTATAATGTGAAACATAAAATTTATTTACTATTTATTTATTTATTTATTTATTTATTTATTTATTCATTTATTCATTTAGTTATTATTTCATTCGTTATTAGTACAATAAAAGAGTTAAAAATTTCAGATTGTGAATATTTATAATAAAAGTAATTTGACAATATTTTTCAAAAATTAAAATTTCATACATTAATAAATAAAATATAGTCAAAACATGGCATGTGAATAGTGTAAATTTAAAATATTGCATATATTTAAATTGAACTTATTCAAGAATAGAGGTAATTATATTTGTTTTAGCATGCATGTAATTAAGTGCACCCAATTCTTGTTTTATACTCCGTAGAACATATACAAGCATATTTGCGCTATAAAATACATTAAGAACCTATATCTACTGTGGAGAATATAATGGAGATACATACTAAAATTGTAATTCGCATTTTCTCCAATTTTTATTATATAAGAAATCTATACTCTTATACTGCTCGATCATGATTACCCATTTTGAGTTCTTTCCGTGATGAGTTCATTTAAACTTGATGACAACTCGCGCGATCATAATAAGTGTAGAAAACATAAAAAAACCATCTAAAACGTAAGGTTGGGATACTCATTCTATAAAATTGACCAGAAATTAAAGAATGATGACAACTCCGGTAACTTTCTAAAAAATGGGGTACCGTACCTACCATTCATTTGATTGGACCACATCACTTTATCATTTTTAATTTAAATTTAAATAATTCAACTGCTACATTCTCATTGGTCCATTTGGACAAAGGTATGGTACCTTATCACCTTATGGGTACCATAGAATCTACCTTAAAGAAATAGTGAATACTAATAATAATAATACCTGTTGTGACAGGAATACAGGTGACTTGTGAAATATTCAATCCCCTTTTCGTGATCGATTCTTGAAACTGGGGATAAGTCAAGGTCAGCCTACTGGCCTTAACGACTTCATCGGCAGTGAACGGAGGAAACCCATGGCCACCATACACTTCATTCGAGACAATGGAGCCCGCGATCAAGTCCACAACAATCTCGCGAGTCTCATTATTTGCCCGGACCACGGCCCGGGCTTTTCTGTAGGACAAAGATTTGGGCTTGGAAGATGATGATAACAAGCTGATCACGTCGTCTTTCTCCGGTTCTTCAAGATCAACATAATGAAATGTCGCGCTAGGGAGTAACCCGAGGATGATGATGCTAGTTTGGTTGATTTCGTTAGGGTTTAGAGCGTCCAATGGGTGAGATATAGACGTTCTAGTAAAAGCTGTCCAGATGACAAAGATTGTGGGGAAGGTTTGGAGCATTCCTAGGATATGTATTGCCATCCTAGCTAGGTCAAATTATTGTACTCTTGGCTTAGAAATGAGGTATGACTATTTGAAATGAGGTTCTCCTTTCTATTTCTTGACTTAGAAATCTTGTGATAATTCGGTTGGAAATGTTATGAATATATATATATAGAAATATGAGCAATCTAATATGACCAAAATGAACGTCATTGATGAACTTAACAAATACCGCGGCAGACAAAAGGTTAATAAGAAATTTCGAAGTAATATCTGTGCACTTTATGTATGTTGGGGGACTATTTAGAAATGAGGTATGACTATTTGAAATGAGGTTCTCCTTTCTATTTGGTATGTAATTTAGCTAATTTGAAATTTAATTTCTATCAGATCACATATAATGTGATTTAAAAGAAAAATAAACTTAGTCTAACATAAAGTCTGTTTGATAATACTAAAGTAAATAGAATTAACTTATTTTGCTGAAATTGATTGAATTTTGGTTAAATAGGTGGAATCTTCTGAATCATGAAAAATATATGTGAAATATATTTCATTTGTGAAACAAAGAAAAAAATATATGAAAAAAAGTTAAATTGGTCTTCTACATAAGCATCTCAAGTAAACATAATTGTTATGAACCCAATAATAAAAAAAAACTATATTTCTTAATTGTTGGATCTTACGGTTTACTCATTAATAAGAACGGTTTTAATTGAATTAAAATTTCGGGTTTGATTTGGTATGAATTAATATGGTCTATTAGATGTATGTTTTTTATGTGACTTATTGTTATAATTATTAAAGTTTGATCTGATCTGATTTAATCTGAACTGAAATCAATCCAATTAAAAACATTCTATTAAAATAAAAGTAGGAATTCGTAAACCTATAAATATTTAATAATTTGGATTAGGAATCTATTTCAAAAGTGAAGGCAAATTTGAATTTTAGGTGTAACATAAAGAAACAACCAATTTTTTTTACTTATTTGGCTAAGCTAAACATATTTACTTGTGAAAATATATATACTTTATGTTGGTTATAATTTTTAATTTCATTTTTAATTATTTACTTATTTGAAGCTTACTAATTTATTAATAGGTGTCAAATTAATAAGTAAACAAATTTGCATATTTGTTTCTATTTAATTATGTGTAGTAAACTATTATAAATTAGTTTCCATATCAATAAATTTTATTAGATTTCACTTTGATAACCAAAAATTATTTTACTTATTTGAAGCTTACCAAATTAATTAAGGTGGATTTATAAGGATTTTTGTTTCCATATCAATATGCAATCAAAAATAGAATCTACTAAAAACAAAATGTATAAAAATAAGTGAATAATTGTTGTATATAATGACATGGCAAAATTATGTGACGCTTTGTATGCAATTAAAAAGTTCCTCTTATATATATATGTATATATATATATATATATATGTGTGTGTGTGTGTGTGTGTGTATATATATATATATATATATATATATATATATAGAGAGAGAGAGAGAGAGAGAGAGAGAGAGAGAGAGGATCATGTGAGAAGTCCCCCTTAGGTTGAGAAGCTGCGAAGTTTAACTTATAAGCTCAAAACACGAACTTTTAACCAATAAATCATAACTTATAGACCCTCTCCAAAAAAAATTACGAAAATGCCACCGCGTCAAAATAACTCCAGAAACCTGAGTTTTTATTTTTTGCAGAAAGTTCGTGTTTTTGTGTGGGTCTATAAATTATGATTTTTTGGTTAAAAGTTCATGTTTTTTGCTTATAAGTTAGGCTTCTCAGCTTCTCAGCCTAAGGACACTTCTCAGTTGATCTGCTCGCTATATATATTTATATATATATATTGATTTAAAGTTAAAGTACTCCTGATTTATCGATCAGTTGGTCTATCCAAATTTCCTTATTTGAGAAAATAAATGGACAACATGTGTTGAAGTGTTTTACGACTTGTACCCCGTAGTCTCATGCGTGGTATATTTTAACTCAAAAGTCAACCCCCCAAAATCAGGAATACGAGGATTTGGGGGCAAAAGAATCCTTCAAACAAATGAAATACTCAATTTAAAAGGTCACCTTTGACTTAGATACTCCCTCCGTTCCTATTAAAACTTTCAACTTTCCTTTTTCGTCCGTTCCAATTAAAACTTCCACTTTCCCTTTTTAGTAAAGAATTTCTGGTTCACAACATTTCTTACACATTTCTCTCTCCTATGCACAACTCTCCACCACACAATACCCACTATCTTAAATTGTGTGCCAAATCTATTTGGAAGATAAAATAGAAACGGAAGGAGTACAATTTAAAAAAATTACACTTTTGAAACCGCAACGGAGCTGCTTAACCGCAGCGATTACATGGACAACAACTAGGAAATACCCAAATAGGGCTTCCCCTCTTTTCCCAGTATCGAAAAGACCAAAACCCTGCTCCAGTGGCATAGAGCATTCCCGACCGATGATTGTGACTGTCGTGCCATCCTGTCATCTCGCGCCTCCATCTCGGACCTCCTCGGCCTCACCGCCCTAGCGCATACACATTGTCATACCCATACACATCAAATGCGTGTTGAAACATAGACTTATCATAATTAATGACTATTTACTAATTGGAATCAATAGCAATAATTTGAGAATTCAATTTCAATTAGAAGATTGTACTTTATTATTGAGTAAGTAGATTAAAACTTCTATCTATTTCTCATCAATTTATGAACTTATTAGTTTTTTCCTTAAATAATACTCCCTCCATTCCTAAAAATTCTTCCCGGTTTGACTTGTCACGCTTATTAAGAAAGTGGAATAAAGTGGAAATGTATGGTTGTGGTTGTGTAAGAAAAAGGTAAAATGAATGTGAGCCACACAAATTGTCCAAAATGGGAAAGTGAGAAGTATTTTTGGGAACAGCCCAAAAAGGAAAGTGAGAAGTATTTTTGGGAACGGAGGGAGTACTCTCTTTGTTCCATTAAGATTGTATCATCTATCAGAGGCGGGTTGAGCATTTTGGAGCCCCCAGATGAAAAATATTTACTATTTACAAATCACTTATAAAATCAGATAAATTGAATAAAAACCGTCTTATGAAAAAAAGCATATTCAAAGTCCACGATATAATGTTTGTAATATTCAAAAGGATAAATTTTAAAATGCAAACTTATTCAAAACACAAGGCAAACTTGTAATTGTAAAAATATTAAGAGACTTCAAGAACGAGACTCAGAGAGAAGAACTGAAGAGTCTTAGTTGATTCACTAACCAAGAACCCATGTCGACGACGGGCAGTGAGGCATATATACACTAGCCGATTAGCGGTCTGTGTTGGACGTTGATGCGTGTTGAGATCGGATTTTGATAGTTTTTTCCTAACTTTAAGGTGTCATAAGTCTCAATTTTAAGCTCAAGTCATATTTACCGGCCGTTGGTTCGAGTTTTGGTATTTTTGGAGTCAAAATCAGGGAATTTGAGCCTGGCACCGGTGTTTGAGAAGCAATAGGGACGAGTTGAGAAGTATTTTAGAGTTGATTAGGAGCATTGGAGATCAGTGAGGTGTTAAAGACAAAGTTTTGAAGACAAAAGAGCTCTAGAATTGGCTACGGGATCAAAAGAAGACGAATAGAGCTTGAAAACAACGGCCAGGATGACGTTCTATCAATCGTTCAAGCATATCTTTTCTTAGGAACATCCAAAAAACATGATTCAAGTTTCATATGAAAGCGAACTTCAAGGGATACAAATCATATGAAGATACCATTATGAGAATCTGAGAGAAGCAAGGTGAAAACAGACGATGAAGTCAGACAATCTTTGTTGAGATTTCAGAATGCAACCTTCCATCATTTTATTCATATATTTTTATTGGATGATTCAAATCAAGTTTTGCAAGTTGTGTTAGATAGAAGACTTCATTAGCTACAACTTTGATGAAAGACAAATTGTCAAAAGTGAACTATAAAGCTGATTTCTGCTTCCAGATGCCGGTTGGTGTATTGGCGGTCTACGAATAACACCTAATACTAATACCGGAGTAGAATTTTTTGGAGGCCCCCTTGGTAGTTGAGTCCCAAGGCAGTTGCCCCGCCCAACTGCCCTCAAAGCCGCCCCTGTCATCTATCCATTTTAGTCCGTCTCACTAATATTGTCTCATACCAAATTCGGTATAGTTTATGTGGTTCTAAATCGTTCTAAGAGTATCATTTTACCAATCGATTATCAACCACATAAAGTCATTTTTTATAATCGCACAATCTTCTCTTGAACTAATGTTAGGGGACGGGGGTAGTGTTTAGTTAGTACTCCCTCCGTTTCTTAAAACTTTTTCAAGTTCTACGGGCACGGTGAATAATGAAATAAAATTTGTATGGTTGAGGTTTACACAAAAGAGAAATAATTAACAGAATCCACAAATTATTTAATTAAAATGGAAAGTGACAAAGTTAGTGGGATAACAAAAAAGAAAAGTTGGCAAAATTTTAAGTGAATAAAGTAACAATATTTAAAGAATACATTTAATAAGGGAAAATTCCCGATATAGGAGCTGAGTAAAAAAGTTTGAAAATTCCAAAATAGGACTGCCATATTTTTATTCCCAAAATAGGAGTAATTACTGCCAAGTTTGGAAAATACTATCATGTTTAACGTCTTTAGTCCTATTTTGAGAATAAAAACATGGTAGTAATTAGTCCTATTCTGAGAATAAAAACATGATAGTCCTATTTTGGAATTCATAAACGTTTTTAATCCTATTTAGGGTAATTTCCCATTTAATAAATATACAAATAAATGCATAACTAAGTTATGTCGACTAATATGTCCTAAACTTATTACTATGTATTATTATTATTACTTTCTCCATCTCGGAAAGGTTTGCCAAATTGACCTTTCTTGGTCAATGACAATCAACTTTGATCAATTATATATTTTAATAAAAAAATATTTAGAATATGAAAATTATATCAAAATGTTCCTTATTCAAAATATTTTCATAATAGTATTAAATTTAAAATATATATATATAAATATAATAATTAAAATCATTGTTCAAATTTTGTCATTATTGACCGAAAAGTCAAATGGATAAACCTCTCGGTAAGGGATGAGGGAGTATT